TGCTAAATTAGAATGTATAGAGATAAAAATAGAAAAAAATAAATATTGGAAGGAATAAAATTTAATATTTATTACTCTGTTCATATACAGAATCATCGTATGACTTTCTATACAGAATACATTAACCGGTGGCCTCCAATCATTTCGGTGGATTCGCTGGAGACAGAGTATGGGAAATGAGAAAGCCGACCGCATGCCATTATGATTCGCCTTCATTGTATCTACGTATTCACATCTCGCAATTGCTGTCACATGCACTCAATGATGATCTACAATACAGTGAACCTCCCTCCTTTAATGGAAGGAGCTTACATTTTTCTTACCATAGCATAATGTAATTAAAAATTAAGAACCTTGTATTTACAAAAGTGAAATATTTAATTTCGTTGTACTAATAAAACCTTCTCTCTCATAATTTTTAATTATGTAAATTTATCTTTTTATTTTTATATAAAAATCTTAATATTTTATTTTGATAAGTTTAGAGATCTTAATATAATTTTTAAAAACATAAAAATAATTAATTATAAAAATAATCTATAATTAACTCTTAATAAAATAAAACCAACCCACAGAAGCAACCCCTCGTTTAATTCATGCCCCCATCTGCCATCCCTGTAACTACAGACAGGGATGACAGCTGCGCAATATAGGTGACCTTCATCATTGCCGAGCACAGTAAATGGCCGAGGTTGAAGAAGGGTGAAAGACCTCTTCCTTGGGCCGTAAACCCTAACACTTGGGGATATGTAGTCATCACTGCTACACACCTTTGTAGTTAATGCTTGCAGCCATAGGGATAAGAGTACAGAAACTGATGGAGTCGGTACGTACTTATTCCAACCATTATTGCCAGAACTGTGCGAGTTGGCGCTTAGACACGTTAACAGTCATTTCGTGATGCTGCTGCCGCCTTCACAGCTGGACAGTAAAGTGTGCGCCACGCTCCACCGTCCAAGTAGGTAGAAGACAAACCGCACGAGGCTGCTGGCATTCCGTGGGTCCCATCGTCGATGACGAGTGAGGGCTCGCCACCCCATCGAATAGCTCTGGACGCTGCCTCGGTGCAGGTAGATGAGCCCGAGTGCCTCGGCGGTTTGGAGCGTTTATTTAGGCGTCGCAGTGTGCTCGCGACGGGCGACACGAGTCAGTTGGGGTGCTGTGTTGTTGCTTTTCTTTGGTCTTTTGGGGAAAGGGGAAGGAGACTGGTGGACGGAGATGGGCGTCCATTTCGCTGCGGGTCTGATGGCGATGGCTGTGGTGGCGGCCGCGGTGGCGGGGTCGGCGGCGCAGTCGCCGCCGGATTGCGTGTCGAATCTGGTGGGTTGCGCTGGGTACCTGAACTCGACGACCACGCCGCCGGATTCCTGCTGCAAGCCACTGAAGCAGGCGGCCAAGACTCAGCTGCCCTGCCTCTGCTCCCTCTTCAACAACACCGCCGTCCTCAGGGCCTTCAACGTCAACATCACCCAGGCCATCCAGATGTCCAAGCGCTGCGGCGTCTCTACCGACCAGCGCGCCTGCGAAACCGCCACGGCCAGCGGCACCAGTAAACCACTCTACCCTCCCCTGTTCTACCTTTTGCTCAACTTTACCTTCTCACGAGGAATCCGGCGTGTGATGCGTCTGATCTGACCCCGGGAGGGGTGTGGATCGTTACCTCGGAGCCCGTGCAATTAAAGTTGGATAGATGGAGAATATTTCGAGATTTATCCGTACTTCTCTTGTGTTTATAGTCGTAAAGTTCAGACCTTTTCTTTAGATCGTTCGGATCGCCTAATTTTGGTCTTAACATATTTCTTTGTTTTATTTGCAGCTGCAACTCCATCGTCCTCCAACAATGACACCGGTATGCCATCAATACTCTTTCATAGTACTGTGACCATTACTTTTATGTTTGTTGGTTGACTAGATTATTTTGTCGACAAGAATCAAAGTGTTTGAATTGTCAAAAATAATGTCTAGTTTGGCTTTACTCCTAGAAAATTGTATCATATAGGCAATCTCTTACTGCTTTTGACAACCGTTAATTGGTATATTTTTGGTGTTGGTTTAGGAAAACGGAACTATGCATAGATATGTTGAGACAAGAAGAAGAAGACATTATCTGTAATATTTTGAGTAGTCTATTGTTGGACATCGAGGTTTACCCTGTACAAGAAGTACGTGAGAAATATGAACTTAATAAGGCGAGTTGCAGTAAGTGAGGGCCGGGCATAAATTTTAGAGATAACTTTGCGCTTGATTGCAGAATATGCTTTGTAGAATGGATGACAATGATGAATTATTTAGAAACAGTTTAGAGCTTATAGTGGCTTTATGTAATAATTGCTTATAGCAGCATGATGATTGGAGCAGGTAAGAGGTTATATAATGATTCGTTGCGATAAATATTTGCACAGCATCACCTTTTCAATGCTGTGTTTGGAAATTTGTACCTTTTTAGGCATATCAGCTTCTATAAGGTATTTTATATGTGCCTATTTGTAGTAAAACTAAACATCTGAAATAAAACATAAAACCAATCCATTGACCAGAATTATTATCATAAAAAAGGGAAAGTTTAACTTTTGCCTCTTTTATTTGAAGAAGAAATCATGTAAATATAGAAGCCAAAAGCCAGTTCACCTTGTTATGTGCTAACTCTGCTACCAACCAAACTTAGTTGGTCGTCTCTGGTCAATTCTTTGTGTATTTGCTTATTTCTGTGTACTAATCTCTTTGCTTGGGGCTTATATTGTTCCTTGTGGCATATGCTCCATTTCACAACTATTCTTTTTGTACTCCTTGCCATAACTTGGTCTAGTTTATCTGCCAATGGTTTTGAGTCTAATTTGCTTGTCATCTTGGCCATGGACACCAGTTACTTTACAACTCTACCATTCACTAAGGTAGGGATGTGTCAGTTGTGCACCAAACTCGTCAGTCTTTTACTTCTAAGTAACTCCTTGAGCTGTGCTTTCTTCTGTATATCAGGCCGTGTTCGTAGAAAGATAAATGTTTTTTACGTCCACTCAGTAACACATGTCAAGCATTCACCATGTTTGTGTGGTCTAATGTCCCCTCATCTCCTATTTTATCTTCCTCATCTTTCTCATCCCTTTGCCCACTTCATCCTAAGCCCCTGTCATCTATCCATGACAAAAAACAATTGTTTATCTTATTTTTGGGAAATAATAAAAAAAATCTAACAATAGATTGAATCCAACAGCTGCATTTTCAAGAATTTGCACCAACCTTCATTAAGTTTTTTTTTTTTTTCTCTCTCTTTTTAAACCATGCAAACATCCATTGCATAATAACATTTCTCGTATATTTGTACGGTTGGGATTCATTCTCATCTTATAACCCATATTCTAAATTAAGTTGCAAATATGACTGTTTTACTTGTCCACTTGATGTGTTGATGGTCTTTCTCCTTGTAGTTAGGCAGAGATTTTGAATGTATTCAATGACTATGGACGCTAATTTTGGTTTAAAATTATTCAAGCAGTTGGATGAGAAGCAATCTCTTTGGCTGTGCTATTTTTTCACTCAAAATTTTTGGAGTTGGTTTTTGTAAATTCTAGAATTGCATTTGGGCAACCTATATGTCATAAATAACATACTATCCCATGCTTCCTTTATGTGTATATATTTGATTGTTGGAATATATTTATGCTGGTTAGAAGATCTTCATAGCTAGCTTCAGTTTTATATGACAAACAGAAAATAATATAATTTGGTACAGGGGTATTGTTTTGACCAGTTTTCTCTTAGTATAACTTCTTTTTCCTCTTTATCTGACTCAAAATGTTCTTGGTGAAACCAATTGACTAGTTTAGTTCTAGATCTTTAATGTACTACTTGATGATGGTGATCATTGCTCACCGTCAGGCAAGGTCTTCTCCAAGTGGGGGATTGCTAATGAAATCTAATTTTCACTTTTTTGGGCCTAAACTAAATTTTGAGCCAGGTGCCGGTGCAAATCATTTGCTTTCTTTTTCTTTTCTTAAAATTACTCCTTCCAATTCAAACATTACACCACATGTGTACTAACACAGCAAATCATTCTCTTATTTCTGCTGCATCTTCTCGTGTATTATTTCTCAAAGTTCTGAATCATGTTATGGTGTCAGTCTTTTCTTTTTTGCCTTTTTCTCTTTGTTTAGTCTGGAGATGAGAATATTAGTCTATACTATAGCCCTTTGTCTCATGATTTTGTTGCTTAGACTGATGCACTTGTTAGATACTCAGGTTTGAGTACTTCACTCTGTATCATTTAATCATTGGATCAGTTGTTTGAGAGCTGTTGTGGTGAACTAGATATAGAAGGTTGTTAATTGGAATGAGGAAAGTTCACTCATTTGATGATATGTAAACGATGTCATAATAAATGCACCATGTTAGATCTTCTGTAGCATGAACTTTCTAAGAATCAATAAATGCATTCTTATTGTTTAAAAAAAAAGCTATGTTAGATCTTCTCTGTCCTTCTGGCACCATTAAACTAAATTGACTCACCTCATTTAGAAAGCTCCTTAAATGGATTTTCTGCATTTGATTTTTATGAATAGACATTTTTATTCTTTTATCTCCAGTGATTCACCCATCCAAACACTAGCTTTTCTGTATGGCATTCAAACGACGATAGAATTAGTCTTTTTGTTGCATTTTTAAACTACTCACAAACACCGAGAAAAAGTCAAATTTCCTTTCCAAGTAGACTCATTCTTTAATTCTTACGCTTGTTCTTGATTTTGTTTCGGGTGCTTCAGGTTCTTCTGCAGGCAAAGACAGCAGCTCAGCAAATAAGGTGACATCAATCGGATTGCCTGGCCTGGTGAGCTTATTGTTATGCTGGTGGTCGCTCATGACATAGAGAGCTGAAGTGATCCGTTTGGTCCAGAGTGTGGCTCTCGCTCTCAATTATTTCTTTCTTCGAAACATTTGAACTTTGAGTGTATGCTGAAGTTGTTTGATGCTAGAGAATCATGTCAGTCCAGTTAAGTTCCTCATGTGAATCTTGCTCTGTATCTTCCTATTCCAATCATGCATCCTTGGTGTTCATTGTAATATCCTTGTGTCCTTTTAGCTAATTTGTGATGCTTTATTGGCCAATATATAAGATGACTAGCTCAAGAGTGCATTTGCTTGCCTTCCAATTATGGCGCTTGCTTGGCACTGAAGCCATGGAAAGACCCAAGAAGACCAAGACGATTTTGATGTATATATATTATGGAGTCTAGTTTAAGTGGGGTGTGTGTGTGTATCCTCTGAAGTTTGTGGTCTTTCTATTTGCTTCTCTAAATATAATTTTACCACATGTATATAGCCCTATAAAATTCAAACAATTGCATAAAAATGTTGAAACTCAAAATAGCTGTTTATATTCTTTTATATATATATATATATATATATATATATATATATATATATATATATATATATATATATATATATATATATATATATATATATATATATATATATATATATATATATATATAT